TTGTAATACATTTTCAGACCAGGTTATTACTTTTAAACCTTGCTTCAGAGATTCTATATGTGATTGTAATTATAATAATACAAATGTAATTATAGATCCATCCATCCATCCATTTTCATCCGATTATCCGTTACCAGGTTGCGGGTGCAGCAGTCGCCACCCAAATCACACTGCACTGCACCAACCCCCCAAACCTTCCTGCAGATGGTAAGTCCACTGGAAGATACCAACCACCTCAACCGGGATTCGAACTTGCCCAGGAGGTGAATCCTGGGGTTCCACACCAATGACAGAGACGTATACCGTGAAAAGTCTATATACGCGAATGGAATGAGTCTTTCCGGATCAGTGGTGTCTTGGTGGTTAAGGAAGCAGACCTGGGTCCGGAAGGTTTCAGGCTCAAGTCCACCATCTGCCAAGTTACCACTAAGGTGCTCTGAGCATGGCACAGTCCCTACAAACTGCTCCCCGGGCACTTAAAGCTGCCCAATGTTCGCTTTGGTGATGGGTTAAAAGCAAAGGTCACATTTCGTTGTGTGCAGTGGTGTGCTGTGTCACAATGACAAGTAGTTCACTTTTCCTTTCCTTCTTTTCATCATATCTTCAAAAGCTGATTGGAAGAGTGTTTTAATGTGTTTACCAGTTAATGGCTGCTTCCTCCACAGCTGCTACTTGACTGGTTTGGCAAAGTGACATGAGATTATTATTTCCACCCACATAATTGTTTCATGTCAACTGGCATCATGACTCACATGTGACGTGACACATTTCTGACAAAGGCGGTTTGGTAGTTTGGATGTCCGTGTCTTAATTCGTCCTCGGAGTGCGTTCCACTCGTGTTCCTTTGTGGCAAAGAAGCTGCTGTCACTTGTTCACTTCTTGTGAGTGTGTCTTAAATGTGTATTTACATGATGAGCGTGATAATAAAAGTGAGTCAGGTCAAAGAACTCCCAGTCCTGCAATCCCCCTGTGCTGAAGCGACACATTAAAACCAATATCCCCCTCAACAAAACTACACATCATTTAACCAGCTAATTACCACACCACCACACTATTTCTTGCACATCTTGCACCATGACTCCCTAATTAACAACTCGAATAGGGAATAAATTGATGTGTGCTGACTTAATGTTTTTACTACTGTATTTCTTTTCCAGCAGGAGGATTTGGTTTTGGCAGAGAGGACATCATTACATCTTTAAATTTGAAGTCAATCTTACGTTGATAATTTGCTGTGCATTTTTTTCCATCATTCATTAAGTACGTTAGCATCAACAGGAGTCATTTTTTCCATCTCCTACTGTCTTTCTCCAAGTGTCCTTTTTTTCCTACATCCTCCAATCTCATGGCTCCATAGGGAGAAACCTCTTGAAACTTTGTAGCCACAAAATTTAAAAAATAATTAACACCTAGGAAATTCTTTCATTGTCTTTGAGCTTTTCATGACCCTGCACCCTACCTTAAAACACATTGAACAGCTGGGATGTTGTTAAAACTTTTAACATAAGTCAAGGGCACACATCTGTTCCAGCACATATCCACCACAGATCTCCACACAACTCATTCCCCTTAACTTTTGAAACCACTTATTCCTGATGATCCCCAGTACTAACTCCAAAAGGGTTATTTGCTGCTAGTATGTTTAAATTTTTATGTGAATGATGAGTACAGAGTTTGTGAATAACATTTTCCAGAACAATGTGGAATCCCATGGCCATAGAATATAAACCACCATAAAGATCATCTGACATAAAAATATGAATGAAAAAAAGCAGAAGAAAGTTGCAAAAAAGAAAGAGGGTGGAAGATGTCTATGTCCTTTTATATTCTAGATCAGGGCTAGGCAAACCTTTTCGCCCACTAGCCAAAATAAGATTTAAATCAGACCGATGGGTGGCATGTAAAATGCTGGGCAAAATAAACGTATTTTTTGGACTATACGTCCCCCTAATTTTCATCCTTTGGCTGGGTTTGCGACTTATACTCAGGTGCGACTTTCATATTAAAATATACAATTTCACATCTGTTATTTTCACACTGACCGCCACTAGAGGGCACTTTAGGCTTGTGTGTCAGCATCTGCTACTCCTGTATCACTGACAATTTATATGTTCGTCTTTTCACACTGATAGCAGCTAGAGGGTACTGGTGCGACTTATACTCCGGAGCGACATATATTATTATTTTTTCTTCTTCATTATGCATTTTCTGGCTGGTGCGGCTCATACTTCTGAGCAACCTATAGTCCAGAAAATATGGTAAATAAAATGTACAAAATTAAACCTAAACTTTCAAAGAAAATTTAACGCATTTGATGTCTGCATTAACAGAAAGTACAGTCGATTTGTTTTAATGCATGAAACAGAAAGATTAGCTGCGAGGCTAAGGAGACATTAAACGTGTTAACAAAAATAAGCTGGAAGATAATATGTTCTTTCTGAGGCAGTTGTGTGGCTGTAGTGTAGTGTCCACTAATCAGAGGGTTTCTGCCCTTTTATTTGTACCAGATAGCTGTGGCAGCAGTGTGTAATGGACAATTGCATGTAGAAGTAGCTACAGTAAACACTGACTCATTTTCAGCTTGTCCACCTAAGACATAGTCTGATGGTAAACAGGTAAAACTGAGAATGTTGATGTCCTGTTCTAAAGTATCTCATTTTTATCCTCCTGTGCATTGAGTAAAAGTCCCTCTTACAACCTTCTTCAAAAAGGCTTTTTTTAATCCAGTTGGGCAGATGTTAAGACATCATAGAGAGATTATATCATTATTTATCATAATTAAATCCACGGTTAGTGCATAGTTAGTGAGTCTAATTAAAGGCAAGATAAAATGTCTGGAGGACAAAACATTGTAAATCCTCTTATCAGAGGAATGGAAACCACCTGTTCATGAGGAGGTGCATTCTTCTGAGGTTTGATCATTAGCAATTATCAATGCCACCAAAGTCTTCATATGAGCCTGTCTGTTCTTTATCATTTATGGGGAAACAATGTTCCCACTAATGTGGTGCAAGAGTAAAATTATTATTTTTTTCAACAAAACGTTGGTGATAGCAATAACAAAAACATATTTAAATATGTTTTTTACATTAAATTCAAAGTTATATACCTTGTAAAGATGATAAAACTGTAAATTAGTCATAAAACATTATGAGCATATCATGATTTTATATACATTTCCTATTTTTCTAAAAATAAGTAAAAAAAAAAAAAATTGTTGCCTGATATTCATCATCTGTGATATGTTTATGCATACTCTGTATTACTATTATATATACTACTAATAATACAAGTACTACTAAGTAAGTTATGTGCTTGCGTGTATGTGTTTGTCTTTTGAATATGAATTGTGTAATAGTGTAAATATTGGGCTTATGTTTGAATATAACTATTTCCCTAAACACCTCCCAATAATAACATCTTTTTATTGCTGTTCTTTTCCCGCTCCGAAGTTCTCTGAATTTCTCAATAAACACTATTTTCACTGGTTTATCCATACATTAGGAGGGCATTCTGTCATCCCAACTAGGTACAGTACCTTATGTAGTGAAAATAATAAAATGAGTTTTGGGATATTGACAAGCTGTTTAGAAACTGTCAATAACATCATTATTCCCAAAAGGCCCTAAAGCTTTATGACACCACTGTGTAAACAGCTTTTAACAAATGACTGGATTTTTTAGATTACCAAATATTTCTTAAACAATTCATAGATCACCTTAAAATGAATTTCAAAAGTCAAACTTCTTTCTTTGTCTGCTGATAGCATTTTGTTGGCAGATCTGAACTTCACAGCTAAAGATTTGGGATTATTTACATAAATGGACAAAGGTCAGTTTCCTTGCAGAGCAACTGCTGCCTCATCTGTGCCAGAAGCAGTTCTGTGCCATCTATAGGAACAATAATATACTTACTGCCCATAACCTGCGCTCAGTAGTGCAGGCCAAAGGCTGGTTATGGCTGCTGTTCCTGCCAGTTCCGTGCATATGTCCTCGCAGTACTTTGCCAAAACTGCCTCCATCAAAAGCGATTACACAGATTTGAGTCCAAACAATCCGTCATGTACTTTGGGTATTTATGCTACTCAGTCATAAAAGCATGCAGTATAATAGTTTTAATGGCTGTAATATATTAAAGACACACACAGGCACCAACACAGCAGGCCAGTATTGATGTTCATTGATTATTCCTAGCGCTATCATTCTAGTCTTTGGGCAGTAAATCCCAGATTAAGTTTTCGTTATATCACAAAGCTGATGAGGTCAAATCCTAGTCCTCCATTATCAACCTTGCCCTCAACAAAAAATTCCAGCCTTCCACAAAAAAGCCAGTCTTCCACTACATAATTTAGAGTGGAAGACAAGGCCAAACCCTGGAGTTGCTTTTATTACTTGCCAATAATTATAATGTCATGTTGATGGACCAAGTCAATATCTGTGCGCTCTCTGCCTTGATGCTCTCGCTTTCTCTCTCTCTCTCTCTCTTGCTCTGTTGATCTTCCTAGTGTTTTCCTAGTTTTCAACTCGTCTTTGTCCTCACTGTCTGTGTGTCGTCTCTTGTCTTTGCACTTATTATATATTTTTTGTGAATGTTCCAAGATTGGTGATGTTGGATAAATGGCGGCTGTTCAGCCTCACACAAACACCGCAGCTTTCTTCCTCTATGGTGCATTCCTTCCTGTCGCTGAGGTGAATGCATCACAAGTATGAGTCATATATGAAAGTTCCACATTTAGGAATGGATTCCTGCCAAGCTCATGCTATGGCCACACACACACACAAATGCATGCACATGTGCATAAGAATGGTGACACCAATGAATCATGTAATGCATTTAGAATTCTGAATTTGCAGATTTAAGGTCATCTCCATGGCAGCTAGGAAATATGTTACCACGGAAACCCGTGTTGAAGCTCAGAATTGATTCACATTTTGGTGTTTTTTGTTTTTTTCTTCTCCATCCTTGTCTATTTGTGAAAATGGTGGTGGAGTTTCACTCACAGGTGTCTGTTTTGAGCAAGCTGTTTGTGCTCCTGAAGTACTGAGGGTTTTCTATCACCGGGATCTTAGTCATGCCAATGATGACGGCATCAGGGCCCATCTCTGAGGACGATGGAGTGTTGCTGCCATTGGAAACGTGGTGGAGAGGAGAGGCAGAGTCGTCGTCATTGCTGATCACCGATGATGGTCCTGACAGAGAGAGAGTGAGAGGAGGAATGGGGGAGTTCAGTATGTTTACCAGCATCTCTAAAGTCACTGAGAATGAGCAGAGATTACAAGAGCCAGAGAGCCAGTTCAGCTCACGGATAGTGTGATAGTGTAAGGACGCTGGAGAATTAATTACATTGTTAAGCTGTTATTAGCGTAGATTGAATAGATGAGATCATAAAGCGGGGAAGTAAGAAGTTGGTATTGATCACATTAAACCTTTCAGAGATAGAGAACACATCTACAACGGGGCAGTACAGTATTGCAAAGTACTCATTACTGGTAGACTACATAAATAATGTATTACATTTATGAAGTAATAGAATTCTTAAAAGGTATACACAAAAAACAATATTATTTAAAATTGTTGAGTGAAACAAACCCATTAATCAAAATTAATGGGGTTGAAATATTTGCAGTAGGGCTTGAAATTGTTATTATTGGAATGTTTAGGTTAAAATCCACCCACTTTTGCCAATCCAAAATGGAAATTGTTTAACTATGCTGCTATTGTTGTGTTTTCCCATGGTTGTCTGTTATGCTCACAACTGGACCACCCTGTTTGGTCCATGTGTGGACTAAAATGATGCCAATCTCTCCATTGGCCAGATACAGAAAACGAGAGGGCAAATAATTGTCAAATGTCTGATAAGCTGGCCAATGTTTTTTAGCACACTTGTGGCTCCATATTTCTCTTGTTACAATTGAGCCTCTTGAGGCCTGTATCCTTTTCATCTGGGTCAGGTAGAAGCAGTATTGCATTGCAATGCCTATTTTTCATTACCTGAAACAACTCAGTCTCAGTCTTTAATTGTAATGTTGAATTTTAGAAAGTCACAGAGTAGTAAGAGTTTCTGCTTGTGGAAAAGTGTGTGAAGGCAACACACATTTAAAAATCACTTTTTGTTCTTCAGATGATTTCATCTGCGGCATTTAATGATGTATTTAAACAGAAACACTGATGACAAAATTCCCACCAAGCCATAGGATGACACAGGATATTAAAGCATTCTAATCTGGAGCCTTAGAAATGAACTCAGAAACCTGGTGAAATTCCATTATGCCTTATTTATCTCTCTCTGGAAAATAATATTTTCAGTAGCACAAGCTTCAGTAAACAGCAGATATTAAAATTTCTATGACATGAATCAAGACGGTGAAAGCATAAGAAAGGTGGGACAGCATGAGTCAGACACGGAGACTAACCCTTTTATAGGAAGTGTTTGATTTGGCAACAGAAGTATTGTTTGTTTTTAATTAGGATTGTGAAATGAGTCTTCTGTCCTGTGTTTGTCAGCAACAGTAAACACATCTGACACACGCTAATTTTCTTTGTCTTTAGATCCGAAGCCAACGCATTAACTAATACTTTCACTCACACACTGTATCTCCTTACAGCAACATTTACAAATGCCTGCAGGTTCTCACTATGTTCTCACCTATAGAATATCACATGCAGTACACACACACACGCATGTACATAAACAAGAAAAAAAGGGGGAAACAACATACGCTAATACAAAAGTTGTCCTCCTAAAAGAAATAACGGTGTGATGGTCTACAGTAATGCTGTAGCAATAGTAGTAGCAGTAGCAGTAGTAGTGTACAGTAGTAGTAGCAGTAGCAGTAATAATAGTAGTAGTAGTAGCACCAGTAGTAGTAGTTTACATAACTACACTGTGAATTGTTTTTTTTTTCTTCTAAGTGCACTATAACTTTAGTCCCTTTGTTCATGGCTGTAAATAGTCACTTCACTGATATACACCTTGTAAATACTGTGCCTAACCTGCTGCTACTATTACTAGTATGTGTCTATCCTGCTGCTGTAACAACTGAATTTCCCCATTGTGGGATTATAAGTCTCTCTTATCTTTTCTTAGAAGCAGTAGCAGTAGTAGTATGCAATAGTAGCAGTAGAGGTTTCTTGGGACTTTCTTGTAGACCTGGATACACGTTTACCTTGCTAAAGGTAAAAGTGTGCATTGAGTAAAAGTCCCTCTTACAACCTTCTTCAAAAAGGCTTTTTTTAATCCAGTTGGGCAGATGTTAAGACATCATAGAGAGATTATATCATTATTTATCATAATTAAATCCACGGTTAGTGCATAGTTAGTGAGTCTAATTAAAGGCAAGATAAAATGTTCTGTATGTGCAGAAAAATGAATGTTCAACATGCAGGTGATTGTCTGTCAATACGTGTGTGTTTGTTTGGGGTGTGGCTGAAGATCATTAACACAGGGTGTCCCAGGAGGAACATGTGCAGTGTGCGTGTGTCTATGTGTGTGTGTGTGTGTCGGTGGATCCTCTGGGATTAGCGGTGTGAGGGATAAGAGCGAGATGGACATGAGAGGTGAAGGTGTAAGTGGGGTCAGGTCATGACTCTTGACCCTGCAGAGTTAATGGAGCTGATGTTTAAACTGATGGAGACTGGAGCTGTTGACTGTGTGATGGGAAGTTGTCTCTCACTGAGATACGACCACTCTGCTGTTTATTGTACACGGGTCAAACTGCAGCACGGATTTTAAGATGCAAAGATTGTGACTGTAAAACAGATGCTACAGGATAACTCTACAATAATTCATAAAGTACATCTTATAATATAAATGTTTAAGGCAGTGTTTTTTAACCTTGGGGTTGCAACTCCATGTGGAGTCGCGTGAAGTATCTAGTGATTGATAAAAAAACAAAGTTTGTTAAAAATACATTTTTAACTAATTATTATTCTTTTTAAAATTATGAATAAAATACCACACACTAATCTGGTTACACTGTGTTTGCAACACAGGAGAACAAACATGTTTTCATGTAACTAGGTATTTTTTAGAATGAATTAATATAATTTGACAAAACATCACAGACATAAAGTGTGTGCATTTTCTGCTTCCAAAGTTCATCAAGCAGGCCGGCTTGCACCCTGCAGTGGGTCGGTTTAGACCCGCAGGCCGTATGTTTGACCTTAAATTGCGAGCCAAACATTTTTTTGGATTGTCCTCCACTGTGATAGTAGATGTACACTGTAAAACCAGGCAATGCAAGAAACCCACTGTGTGGCTCGGTAACCTGATATGGTAAACAAAAATTAATTGATTAATCTTTTTAACTATACCTACATAATTAAATATTTTAAAAATAACATGTTTTGCCCGGAGTAATACATGATCAGAATATTTTTAATAAATCAGACTCTCAAATAAACGTGTTGATGGCAGTCATTAACTTGTGGAAATAATCTGATAATTGTTATGTAATTTAACACGTATTGACTGATGGACAATGTATATCCAATAATTCCACAGTCCATCCACTTAAATTATCTTTGGTCTAATACATAGTCAATACACATAACCCTAACCTTTATTCTCAGGTGTTTTTGACATTTTATATTCTATGTTTTTAATCTACCACTACTTTGTTGTTACTGTATACTGTAAATATTTTACGTCAACACACACATATTGTTTCTGGAGCACTGCATTCCATTTGTAATGTTTGTGATCCATGCTCTTCCTCCAGTAGTTGTGTTTACTGTGGCACCACCCCGATCACTGTAACCTGTTCACCAATTACTCACCCCTTCCCTGTGTACATAGGTTTCAGTGCCAGTTTGATCACATTACATTCTGATTGTATTCCATATTTAATTCCCTCTGTCATGTAAAACTCTGTTTACCATAGAGGATACTGCTTAGCCACTGTTTTTCTCTATCTCTGCATGGATCTGTTAAGGAGTAACAGAATGTTTTTCATTTCATCAACTCGTGGTTGGATCTGTTGTTTTAATCTCCTGAGTTTGCTACAAGTATCTCCGCAGCTGTGAGCTGCACTGTACAACATGAAATCACAGAATCCCTCTGTTGAGTGTGTGTTAGCTGCAGTTGCAAAACTAATATACAGTATTATTATATTATATATATGATTATATAATAAAATATATATTATAATATACATATATATATATACATATATATATATATATATATATATATAC